TAGATTTTAATGTCTTAATCTGAGTTTTTTGTTCTCTGCAAAATAGAATGGTAAAGGTTAACTAGAACCTTTGAAATCTAGTGGGTTAAAGGTTAAATCTAGATTTTGATCTATTCCCTTGTAACTATTGGTTTGTCTTTTACCCTTTAAAAGAAATAACATAGTGGAGAATCTCAAAATGAGTCTTGGGGAGTGGATGTAGGCGAGTTAGTGCCGAAACACTATAAATCTCTGTGTTATTCTTCTTTTATTTTCTGAAGTGTAACTTGATTATCTTATGATTATACATCTATTAATATTTTTAGAAATGCAAAGTTGTTAATTTTTTTCTATTTCTAATAGTGAACAAGCTCTATCTTTGTGGATCATTAGAACTCTGGATTTTTGTATTGTGATTTTTTCAAATTCTAATCTATCCTTTTATATTTAATAGAAATTAGAATCTGAGTTATAATTAGTATTCTAATCTTTCATAAGCTTTGTGAGGAAGATCTATACTTGATAACTGCTTCTCACAAATGCTTTCTAATCCCGCTGCTATAGAATCATGATCTTGCTGTTTAAAAGTCAAATATTTAGAAAATCAAATTCACACTCCTCTTGAGCTATGCCATACATATATCGGGGCCTATAATTTTTAATTATAATTGTATATAGATATTGATTTGGGTTGAGGGCAAGAGTTGAAAATTGATTGATGATTTGATTTTCTTTTTTGGGCACCAATTAGGATTTTAAAATTTTGCATTTATAAATTAGAGACTAAAGGATTATGTTTAAGAACTGGGTTGAACTTATTCTGAGACCACTTTACTGTATAAAAATAAAATTAAGTCCATAAAAGGTAGCATTACAAGTAGTTTGTACGATAAAGTATAAAACAAATGAACGACTTATATTTATTTTAATCTAGACAAAACTTATGCTTTAATATTATATAAATAAACAATGAGTATATAACAAGCATAGTCAACATACAATGCACGTTATATAGAAGACTAGTACTATATATAAAAGTGAGAATAGGGAGGAATAAATGGAATTTCTGATAATGCCCTTAATGAAATTTAGAATATGCCAAAATAATCTTACTCATAGCCAATTAATTATATTTTATTAGTTGATTGGATATATTTATAGAAATTATTTTTTAAATAAATACATATAGATAATTAAGCATTTCAAAATTTACGTTTTATCTTTTTTTTAATAAATATATATGACAAGGAGACATTTTAAAATTTTTTATATTTTATTTTTTAAATATTTGATTCTATTTTAATTATAATTTAAAACATTTTATTTTAGAGAGAAATAAAAATTATAATCTGACATAAGGGATGCAGTTTTAACATATTTTTGGATAATTTTTAATTTTTTATAAATATTTGGATTCATTTAATTACTAATTTAAAACCATTTTTATTTTTAGAGAGAAATAAAAACCAGAAAAATATACTTATTTTTCTTTATATTTATAATGAATTTGGAATTGGATAATTTTTAAAAATAAATTCAAATAGAATATATATAATATTAAATTTTATTTAGAAAGAAAGAATAAAAAAAGAAAAAAATATTATTTTTTTAAATATTTTTTTCTTTATCTTTGTTATGATTTGATTGGATATATATTTTTTTAATAAAATTTCAAATAGAATACACATAATTAAACTTTCAAAATTATTTAAATTTTTACTTTCAAAATTTTATTTTAACTAAAAATGAATTTATATGTGTGTGTGATTGAACCCAAATAATTTAAAAATTTGTAATCCATAAAAATATATATAACTTTTATTGATATATTTTAATATATCTATATAATAATTGAAACGTTTTATATTTATATATCTATATATATTGAAACGTTTTTTTGTTGGGTGAATTATAAAAAGAGTTTTATTCTTAATAATAATTTTTGATTTTCTATTTCCTTACTCAATAATTTTTAATTATTATCATTTTAATTTCGTAAGATATTAATTATATCTCATTTACAATAAATAAATGAACTTTTGATGATTAAACATTTTTAATTTTCTTGATATTTTTTCTTTTATATCAAAAATCTGTTTGACTTGAAAGAAAATAGTATTTAAGAAACAAGAAAAAAACTAAAATTATATATTCTGTTTGGATCACTTTTCAGAGTTTCAAGAATTTATGTATATGTGCATATAATTCTTTTTTCTAATGTATTGGATAAGTACTGCTATTATAGCCAAATGGTTATCATTATCAATTCAATTTGAGACCATTTCATTATATAAAAATGGAATTAAGTACATAAGAAGTAGCACTACAAGTAGTTTGTACGGCAAAGTGAAATACAAATTAACCACTTGTATTTATTTTAATCTAAACAAAAACTTATGCTTTAATATTTTATAGATAAAAAAAATTAAAGGAGTACAAAAAATAAGTATATAAACAATAACTTATGCTTTAATATTTTATAGATAAAAAAAAATTAATTGAGTACAAAAAATGAGTATATAACGAGCAAAGTTGACGTGCAATGCATGTCACAAAAAAAAGACTAGTACTATATATAAACGTGGGAATAGAGAGGGATAATGGGATTTTCGATACCGCTCTTAATGAAATTTAAGATATCCTAAAATAACCAGTCATAACCATTTAGAAAATTACAGTGATTGGATATATTTATAAAAATTATTTTTTAACCTAATCATGTGTGGTCTAATTGTCTTCTCATTTATATGAGGAGTGAGAGGTCTCGAGTTTGAGTCCTCTCGACCATAAGTGTTTTCACCAATTTGGTGAAATAATTTTAAATAAATACATGTAAATAATAAAGCTTTTCAAAATTTTAAATTTTATCTTTACTAAATTTATTTTTTAATAAATATATATGACAATAAGATATTTTAAAAAAAATTATGTTTTATTTATTAATTATTTAATACTTTTAGGATATAGATAAGAAGAAGAAATATTTTTATTAATATTCTTTTTTTTCTTTTGTTGGATATATTTTTTTAAAAATAAAATTTCAAATAGAATATATATAATATTTTATTTAGGAGACGGATAAAAAAAGAAGAAAAAGAATTTTTTTTATTAATATTTTTTTTTTACATTTTGAGGATTTGATTGGATATATTTTTTAAAAAGTAAATTTTTAAAAAGAATTTACATAATTAAACCTGTGATGGTAAATATTTGAAAAATTTTAAAACATATATATAATATTTTATTGGTATATTTATATACCTCTATACATTGATACTTTCTTTTTGTTAAGTGAGTTTTAAAAGAGTTTTATTCTTAATAATAATTTTTTATTTTCTTTTTCGTTACTGAATAATTTGTAACTACTATCATTTTAATTTAGTAAAACTGAATAATTTGTAACTACTATCATTTTAATTAGTAAAAGATTTAAATATCTCATTTGCAATAAATAAAATGACCTATTGATGATTAAGGTTTTTTTTTTTTTTTTCTATTGATGATTAAGTTTTTTTTTTTTTTTGATATTTTTTTCTCTTAGATCCTAAATTTGTTTAACTTAAAAGAAAATATTGTTTAGTAAACTGAAAAACAATTAGAACTATATATTTCTATTTGGGTCAGTTTTTAGGGTTTCAAGAATTTGTGTATATGTGCATATATTCTTTTCTCTCTGATACACTGCGTAAGTAATACTGTCACTGTAATCAAAGTAATTCCCATTATCAATTCAGATCATCTTTTCATTTCTTTTCTTTTACCTAGCAGTAAAAAACAATTTATTATTATTATTTGTATAACTGTATATAGATATTGATTTGGGATTGAGAGAGGGAATTAAGTTGAAAATTGAGTGATGACTTGATTTTCTTTTTGGGTACTTATTAGGATTTTAGGTACATAAGTTAGAGACTAAAGGATTAAGTCAAGACATGAGGTTCAACTTTATTTTGAGATCGCTTCATTATATAGAAATAGTATTAAGTACATAAGAAGTAGCATTGTAGTTAGTTTGTACGGCAAATTATAATATACATTAACAATTTGTATTTATTTTAATCTAAACAAAACTTGGATAAAAAAATGAGTATATAATTAGTATAGCCAATGTACAACGCACGTTATACAAAGACTAAACTAGTTATTATAAACGACAATATTAGCTATTCATTATAGTGCTAGCTATTAAAGTAACTCTCAATTATTATTAGTCGATGATTTAAAGCAGAAGTATTCAATAAAAATAGACATTTAACTTTATTATTTAAAAAAAAAGGAAAACAGGAATTTAATCGGTTGTTACTATAACATTTCATAAAATACTTTCCCGATTGCTACTAAACGAAGCTGCTATTGAATATTTAATTAGTATAAAAAAATATCAATTTAATTCATCAAACACTCTCAATGCTACTAAATGAAGCTGCTTTTGAATATTTAATTATTATTCAAACCAAAAAATGTTTTCAGTTTTAATTATTTAGTTAATATGTTAGTGATTAACTATGTAAGGTACAATTTCAAAATTCCTTCTTTTAATAATTTCAAAACAGAAAGAATTATATATATATATTGTAATTTATGGTTCTAAATTAATGCTTCTCTAATCTAAGGTGATCACAGTCATCCTTGTTCCAATTCGATACAGGAAAACAAAACATGAACTATTACCCAAATTCGAGCTTTTTCCAGTGGAAAGAACTGGGACGAAAGAGTTCAAACCGGAGTTATTGGCACCTATTTTGCTGCTCTGCTCATCAAGAGAAAGATGATGTTTTAAGCATCTCACTATTTGTATAAATCACTACATGATGGAAGATGATTTTTAGAAAAGGGAAGGCAAAAAAAAAAAAAAAAAAAAAAAAAAAAAAAAAAAAAAAAAAAAAAAAAAAAAAAAAAAAAGAAGATAAGCACATGACTAAGATCAAGTTTTCAAACTTTCTGTTCCTTAAAATTTTATCAAAACTTGATCAAAAAAAAAAAAAAAAAAAAAAAAAAAAAAAAAAAAGAAGATAAGCACATGACTAAGATCAAGTTTCAAACTTTCTGTTCCTTAAAATTTTATCAACTTGATCAAAAGATAAGTGCAAAATTCCAAAAGAACGCAAGCATTTTGTTCGATTTTCATCATTTGATGCAACTACTTGCAAATAGTTTGCCTCTGCCTCACACATTGTTAACAGCTTAAGAGTCTCCTTAATACAGGGCAAAAATGCTTCAGGGCGAGCACAATATGGTTGAAAGACTAGGAACAGTTTCTGCATATCAGCTTCAAACTGATTAATCCCCCAACTAGAAAATTGAATATCACTTGTTGATATGCTACTCACAATGAATTGATCAAGCCCGTCAGCTACGCTTCTCCACAAATCCAAGAAGTCTTTTTTATTAAGATTCAACTTCAGAAGGTCTAACTGAGTTTTGATAGCATCCAGAGCTTCCACAATATCAATGGATACAGATAATTCCATGTTAGCAGGAATGCTGTTTGAAGTAAAATTTTCTTGTTGTTGCTTGAAATATCCTTTGTTTTGCAGATATTCCCAGGAAAGTTCTTCAAATTGATGAAGGAGAAAAGAAATTATGTCCATAAGCCAATTAGTGTTGAGCTCTAACAGACTCTTAACTTCTTCGCCAAAGAAGCTATTATTGTCAACCCCATCATGGTTTCCATTAATTTCTAAATCCCTCTCAGCAATTCTTAATTCCAAGAAGTTAACATCATCGCTCCACTCTTGCAGCTTAGATTCAATGTATCTAGCAGCATTAATCGATCCACACACTTTGATTAAGGCATCATTTGAGTTATCCAGAAGGAACTCAGTGTTCTTGCATCGCAATGCCAATACATTAAGAAAATGCCAGAGGAATCTTGCAGATGTTGATCTGATAAATCTAACCCGTGGTAAAACAGCAGGCAGAGTTCCACAGCGTTCAATCATTTCCCAGGTGATTTTAAGTGCAGATTCTGTTACTAATGGAGCTTTATAATCTTCTCTAGTGGCAAGTAAAAATTGCACAGTTTCTGCACCAATTGGAAAGTCAGTTCTAGAATTCTTGTCAATTGACCAAACTCTTTCATCTTTCAGTTCAAGTTTTAGTCTCTTCCAAGCATCCTTGAGCTCTATTTTAGTCCAAATCTTGAGCCAATCTGGCCTATCACAAAATATCATTAATACTGAGAGACATCTAGAGTCATAGCTTTTAGATTCCTCAAAGAAATGAATTTCTGAACTTACAAGCAATTGCATCCGTTTATCAAAAGCAACAGCATGATCTATCAAATGAAGCCACGACGATATAACTTCCGATTTCATGTGTTTCTCCTTGTACCTTTCAGCGAGAACAGAAACAACACCTCTTGCCAAAAACCCAGAAAGCATCTGGACCATGGCAGAAACCCAAGCTTCTCTAGCACTGTAACTCGTCAATCTTGCTCTGTCAATCAAAGGTTGCAAAACATCATCCACTCCCACAATAAAGTCTCTTGTAATCTTATACACAAGTGCAAACATGAATTCAGGCTGTTCAGCCCATTTAGAGAAGTGGTGTTCCATTCTGGATGCAATGGGAGAAACCAGTTCATCGATGGCCCAAAACTTCATGAAGCACTCCTTTCGTCCAAAAATGTTATGTTGTCGATCTTCCCTCCGTGTCTGCAGATGCTGCAAAGTGCAAAGACCTAGAAAACTCTGTGAATAATACTTTCTTTTTTCTCCTTCCATCAAAACAAGTGGATTTGGAAAGCTGGCACTTTCTCCACTATCAACTTTCAATGTCAAAAGTTTAGGTGGCCAGCCTAAAGAACCAAGAAGAGCTCGGTGATCAGCAAGAATTTGAGGCCGAACAATGGCTAAGATTTTATCTACTCTGATATCGACAGATTCCAAAAGATGAGACCATTGAGGATGAAATTTCACAACATCAACCAATACATCCTCAATGTTGTTCATCCCTTTTATGGCTCTAAGTAGTCTCTCTTGCTTTGTCTCAAAGTCCTGCATTATAAATAAAGAACACATTCATATTCAGTGAGCCATGCATAGTTGAAAAACCTTCCAGCCGTGCTGGAATTATTGGGAAAAAGGAGAAACAAAGTCTTTACCGTTGATATCAGTGAAGTAAAAATCTTTGTCGAAAACATATTCCTGGCATAGCAATCTCCAACAGAGTAAATTGCATCCTCAAGATCCCCAACCAAAGCTTCCAACTGTAAGGCAGTATCTGAAATAATTAACGTGTAAACTTAGTTGCCAGCCTGCTAGGCTAAGTAAGAGTTAATATGGACACAAAACCTAATGCCAACGCTTACAAAAGTTTGTCATCTATATATAATACCCATGATGCATCAAACTATCATTAAGGATAAGAGGATCCCTACAGCGAATGCTCACTTTGCAGGGGTTGAGGGAGGGGGTCCCTAGTACATGGCCTCCTTATGCTTTCTTTTTTGCAGACAACTCAATTCCACAACTCAAACCCAGTCACAAAGAAGAGAAGCAACCCAACAATCTCCCCACCATCAACCATTAAGGAATAACTTACAAATAAACAGAGAGACGGACAGACATATTTATTTAAACAACAAAATCTATTTGGGATAATACAGGATAATACAACAACTAAGCCTTTAGTCCCAAGCATATCTCATCTTAAATATTTACTAAAGGATTTGTTAAAGAATACCCATAGAATAATCAATGGTACTGAATAGCCAAATTGTATATCAAGATCATTGTCAAACTTTAGGATGAATTCTGGAATACCATTAAAAATTATGATATTTTTAGGTTTCTCTCCAATTTCATGTAACATTTCTAAGAAACTATACAGTGAGGCAAAAACTATTGGCACAACTTAGCTATGACCTGTTTCATTTATACTCTAAACTACCCACAATGTAATAAAGTAAAATACTCAATATACACAGTACAATACTATCTTCACCCAAAATTTATCCAGTAAATAGAAATGGGACTCCATCAAAAGGCTAGCAAAGTCTATCCTTTGGTAAATGATTTAAGGAAAAATAGAAAATTTTGAAACTTACCCACATATTCTCGAATATTTTCAATTCGTTTGAGGCATTTGGCAAGTTGAGTTAGCTCTTCACACAGAACTTTCTGAATTTTCGAACAGATCCCATCTAACAAAAACGAAAATAAAATAGTTTATTTTTTTGTTAATTTAAAAGGATACAATAATTCCAAACACAAAAAGATTAAAAAGACTAACAATGGGAGGTTTGAAGACTGAGATTCTCCAACTTGAAATTAAGATTGGCAAGGGATGATTTGGCTCCAAACGAGCGACATATCCATGAAACGGTACGCTTCATCAGATTTCTCTGCAGGTTCAGGATATTGGCTTCCAAGTCAGCGAAGTTATCTGTCAAATCGGTTAAGAGAAGTGGAGCTTTGGAGCTAAGATCTTCATGGGTCCTCAAATGTTGGTTCAGAAACTCTATTTGGCCCGAAGAGAGCTCACTTTGCCTGGGCAGAACTAGATACTGCGGCGGCTGTGCCGGCGATGGAGGTTCCATTGGTGCCAAAAATCATTGAAATGCTATTCGATAATTTTTAACTAATCTCTTCAACCCTGAAGCGCTTGAACTGTAGTACGGTCTAGTGCAGAAACCGTTTGAATTATGACCGGGCATAGTATTTCTTAAAAAATATATTTTTTAATTAAATTGTGCTAATTTATTATTTCTCCGGTGTATTGTAAATTAAAAAATATAGTTAGAAAATAATTTTATTCATATAATTTTTCTATTATATTTATTTTAAATAAAAATAATGATTAAAAATTAATGAGTGTTATTGAGAATAAGGTAAAATTTAATAAAAGTATACTAGACAATTTAAGGATTAACTATAGAAAAAAAAAGTAAAGTGAATTATATTTTACGACAAACCAAAAAAGAAAAATGAACTTTCTTTTTGAAACGAAGGGAGTACTATTTTTAACACATCTATCTAAATAATAAAAATTCAAAAAAAATTTATATGTAGAGTGGAATCGTATAATTTTATTATTTTTCAAATTTTTAATATTTTTATTTAATCATCTAATTTGAAAAAATTAAATAATAAATTTTTGTATACCTATTTATATAAGTATATAATTTCTAAATCATAAATACTTACGTAGCAACATATTAGAATATTGAAGTGGTCTTGATATTTTATTTTTTTATTATAATTATTTTTTGCGTTTAATAAAAATTAAATTTTTTTTATTAAATAATGGAGTTGCAAACTAATAAATTTAATGGAGGATTTCATTATAATTAATATTTTTGTGACATCCCTACCCGGCAAAAAGATCCTAAGAGGATGGGTAGAACAAAGCTCCTAGCTAACTTTTAGAATTGTCTAGCTATGGATAGCGAAATGCGGAACACATGAATAAATCGGATTATATATAGAAAAGGGGAAAACGAATCATTATTGGCATTTTTTGGTGGAATGGATTGGAGAGTTGGAAGAACTCCATAGTTAAATGTGTTTGCTTAACGGAAAATCCTACAATGGTGATTTCATGGGAAGTTCTCAATTTGCTAATCGAGTATGGAATGGCTAAAGTGGATAATTTTCTCTGGTGGTTGGAGTTGGGCACGGCAATTTTTTTACATTTAATAAATAAGTTGTTTTATTAAATAGTTTTTACTCTATAAAAAAAACTAATAGATTTACGATAGAGTCACAGTTAATAAAAATTAATTAAATAATGTAGTTATATTAATAAATGGAATTAAAATATTAATTTCAATTTACTAAAATTAAATATTCTTATACCTCGGTTAATTTGAATATATGAAAATTTCAAGAGAAATAAATAATTAATTAAATATATTAGTTGAATTACAATAATTTGTTTATAATAATTAATTGTGCGAGCATATAATTTTATCTTTCATAATTTAATCAAAATTACATAAACAAATTATTTAAATTAAATCAACACAAATATAAATTGCAATAGTTTTTTTAAATTACATTCAATTTAATTAAAAAAAATTATATAATTCGTGCATCGCCCGGGTACGTGACTAGTAATAAATTTATTTAATTAATAACAAACTCCTTGATTTCTTTCTGTAGCTATAATTAATAATCTAAATAATAAATTTTTTGTATTAATAATATAAAAATTTTAATAATGAAAAACCACATTATAAATTGATGTAACATTTTGTTATTTTATAATTTAATTATCCTCTAATTTTATTGTCTAAATTTTAGTTCCATATGATGGAAATGAATATTACATCTAATAAATTTGCGACACAAATTCATATTTTCTCTTTTTATATTCAATTTTTTTTTGATAATGATAAAATTAATAGCTTAAACAAAAGACACCTAATGATTAACGATCCACGAAGTTTGTTTTTCTTCCATTCACGTATTTTTATGATTTGAGCAAAATGGATTGTTTCAATTTGCATAAGCAACTTTTTTTTTTTTTTTTAATATAGCTAAGAAGGTGAGTTTATTGTTTTAAATTTGTTAAGCTATAATTCTTTTATCATATTTAAATGTATAGAAAAAGTTAAAAAAGTTTTTTTTTTTGTTAAAATAGTGAAAGACTAAAAAAATATTTAAAAAAAAAAGGGTAAACGACACATACGACTTCTTTCATCATATAATCAAATTTAATTCTATTGATTACTTATATATTTTTAAAGTTTATTCACTCATTTTAATCATCTTTTATGAATTTCTTAATTCATCAAATAATAATTGTATTAGCAAGTAAAATAATATAAATTTTTATAGTCTATAGATGAAATATAATAAATAACTAATAAAATAATTTTTAAAATAAATTTAAATATAAAAATAATGTAGCTCTATCGTGGTAAATAATTTATAAGCATTAGTCCATATAACACGCGGGTATACGATTAGTTTCTTAAATAATAATATAATTACTTGTGATATTGATGTAGAGGTAAGCATCTTAATCTAAACTACTAACTTGTACTAAATGGTAGATTAAGAGCAATAATATATAAATATATATACATTTATGAATAATTGTTTAGTAAATCGAAGTTAAAGAAATAAAAACTTAATTAACCGAAATTTATGATTAACAGACTTTAACTGAAATAAAAAATAATCGAAATTATTAATCACTATTTAATCAAAATAAAAATTGAAATATTTTAATTTTTAATTTTATTATATACTTAATCAAAACAATGTTAGTTTTGAAAGTCGGTTAATTTGATTAATTCAATTAAATTAAGTTTTAACTGAACTTTTAACCAATCACTGAAATTTTAATTTTCTTTAACTAAATTTTAATCGAACATTTATTCACCGAACTAAAGTGGCTGAATTAATCTAATTAACTGAATTGAAATTTGAGGGAGAAAAATCAAATAAATAACAAAGTACCAAACTGAAAGGAGAGCTATAATAAATGTAATACCTATATTTTAGGCCTTAAGAATAGGAAAAGAAAAAGGATAAGAGTGTTAAAATAAAGTTAAAATCCTAAAGTGAGGTATATAACATTTGATGAAACACTTCCTATCTTCTCAAAATTATTATAAATATTACTTTATCGAACCGTGTAATTAATAAATATAGTGTTTTGACTAAAGTTAACTCATTAAGAGCTCTCTGAAATGTTATTGCCAAACAGACTCATAGTGTTAGATGATTAAGGTTATTATTGTCTTTTGCAATCATTTTGTTTTCATTTCTTATTGATTGAAATTAATTTATAAATAAATGCAAAAATATAAATGTGAAAAGATAATAATCAATAATATAGTGAGAAAAAATAAGCATTTGACTAAATAAATAATTAAACAAATAATTAGCCTAATAAAAATTTCTCCACTAAAAAATAGACATTACAAAATCATAAATTTTATTTAACTATGTAAATAAATAAAATTAAATAAAATATTTTATTTGAAATATTTTATAACATTATTATTATATATTTTTTAAAAATGGTTTAGTATCATCACTAATTTACAAAATTTTTTAACTATATTTGTTAAATTAAATTTGACCATGGCATACGAAAAATTAAGATTAAGAATATCCTTTCATGAAAAGAAAAATAGCTCATTTCCTTTAAAAAAGTCAATTTATAAGAGCCTGGTTTTAATAAAATATCCAATTGTTATAAAATTATATTTATCAAACACTTTAATTTTTAAAAATTATTTTATTAAACACTTTAACTTGCAAAATTAGATCGATTACTCACTTATTAAAAATTTAAAATTTATAAAACTTATTGTTTTAAAAGTCATGTTAACTATATATCAAGTCGATATTTTACATATAAAAGTCAAAAATCCTAAAAATTATTAGTGTTAAAAGGTATGTAATATTATCAAAATTTATAAATTCAAGTGCATAATAAATCATCTGCAAAGTTGAAGGTGCCACAGTATTAAAATAGTAAAGTTTAAAGGTAAATTTATGTATTCGGTCACTCTTAAATGTAAATTTCATTCATTTGTTGCTGCAAATGCTCAATTAAGATGAGATATCCTTACTTTATGGTCTAGTTTTTAAATGTTCTCAAATCAAATATCACTCACAAAGGATTTCTATGAAGCTCACTAGAGATCAAATCTAAGACTTTGAGCATCTTTAGATAAAGAAAAATGGAGAATAAATTCTGTTTTGGAATTCTCATTCTCGAGAGTAAAATGATGAGTACAAGGGAAAATATATACAGCAAAAGAATATTCTAGATTTAGCCTTGCTGGCTATTTCTTGTAGGCTACTAAATATTTACAAGATAAGACTAAGTCACTCTTAATGTAAATTTCATTCATTTGTTGCCTGAAATGCTCAAAATTAAGAATGAGATATCCCTTACTTTATGGTCTAGTTTTTAAATGTTCTCAATCAAATATCACTCACAAAGGATTTCTATGAAGCTCACTAGAGATCAAATCTAAGATTTGAGCATCTTTAAGAATAAAGAAAAATGGAGAATAAAATTCCTGTTTTGGAATTCTCATTCTGCCGAGAGTAAAATGATGAGTAGCAAGGGAAATCATTCTCGAGAGTAAAATGATGAGTACAAGGGAAAATATATACAGCAAAAGAATATTCTAGATTTAGCCTTGCTGGCTATTTCTTGTAGGCTACTAAATATTTACAAGATAAGACTAAATTGTGTTGAGACATTTGTTTAACTGAAAAGATGCCAAGTGTAGGGTGAAGGATGGGTAAATAATGATTGTACGATGATTGGTGATGATTAATATTCTGTACAACCCCTCTTCAAGCTGGAGATTGGGATAGTAATGCCAATCCAAGCTTGAAAAAAAGGTTGGAAAATGAATGGGTCGGCAAAGGTTTAGTGTATATATCGGCGAGTTGTTGTTTGGATGGGAGATGTGGTGTAGTAATGAAACATGTTGTGAGCTTGGATCGGACCACATGACAATCAATATCAATGTGCTTTGTTCTTTCATGGAAAACAGGATTTGAGGCAATGTGTATGGCGGCTTTGTTGTCACAATGAAGGGGTATTGGTAATTTGAGTGGTAGTTGAAAATCTTTGAGTAGGTTAGAAAGCCATTGTAATTCACATACTGTTGAGGCCATGCTAATTGTTTGTTGTTTCTTCGATTTCCATGAGACAAGTGAAGAACCAAGAAAAATGCAAAATCCAGTTACTGATTTTTTGGTTTCTGCACAGGATGCCCAATCAGCATCGGCAAAAGCTGTAATTTGAAAATTATTGTTGCAAGGGAAGAATAAACCAGCAGAGATTGTTCCTTGAAGATACTTGACCACATGTAAGGTTGCTTTGTGGTGAAAAGAACAAGGAGCTTGCATATATTGGCGTAGTTGTTGCACGGCAAATGAGATGTCTAGTCTTGTAATTGATAAATAAAGTAGACGACCAAGTAATCTTCGATAAGATTCTGGATCAGGCAAAAGAGAATCCATATTGGCAGTCAATTTGGTCCATTGAATATATGATGTTGGTGCTGGTTTAGCTTCTGTCAGACCAGTGTCTAGGATGATATCAGAAATGAATTTTCTTTGAGAGAAATGACATTTTCTTTGAGAGAGAAACATGCCTTCTGAATTTCTTTTAGCAATTTCATTCCAAGAAAATATTTTGCTTCACCAAGGTCTTTGATGGTGAATTTAGAGTGCAGCAATTGCTTTAGATAAAAAATATCAAGAGGTCTTGAACCCATTATTAAACGGTCATCAACATAGACAAGCAAAGCTAAAAAAGTTGCACCTGAAATCTTTGTAAACAAGCAATGACCAGTTTGTGATTGTACAAAGCCAAGAGATAGAAGATAGGAAGTGAGCTCTTTGTTCCATTGTCTCCCCGCTTGTTTAAGACCGTAAAGAGATTTGAGTAATTTGCAGACTTTGCCTCTTGCAACATTTGGGTAACCTTATGGAGGTATCATATAAAGGTCTTCATCAATTTAAAGGTCTTCATCAATTTCTCCATGAAGATAAGCATTGTTTATGTCCAATTAATGGACTGGCCATGATTTAGCTGCTGCTACAGAAAGAAGGACCCTCACTGTTACAATCTTAGCTAGAAGAGAAAAGGTGTCAGTATAATCAATGCCAGGAATTTGGCTATAGCCCTTAGCTACAAGCCTTGCCTTGTATTTATCAATGCTACCATCAGAGTTGTTTTTGATTCTATAAATCCATTTGCTACCAATTGGTTTTTTTCCTTTTGGTAAGTCTGTAATGATCCATTTGCTACCAATTGGTTTTTTTCCTTTTGGTAAGTCTGTAATGATCAATGTATGATTTTTTTCTAATGCATTAAGTTCAGTTTCCATGGCAGCAATCCATTGCTGTCATGTTTAGCATGATTGTAAGAACTAGGTTCTTGAATTTTTGAAACTTGAGCAACAAAATTTAAATAAGATAATGGAGGATTAAAAGAGTATTGAGATATGGTGGTACCTTAATTGGGCAAGCTGAGACGTTGTCATCGCCGCTGGTAAAGGTTGTGGCAACAAAATCTTGTAACCAGCGGGATTTGGAGTGCACTCTAGTGCTTCATCGAAGCACTGGTTGTATTATTTGCTATTCAGGTTGGGATTCATTAGTGATTGTTTCTGTGATAGGTGGGGATGAGGAAGGGGTAGGTACACTGATTTTGAGGAGTGGGATTAGGAGAAAAGCAAGGTTGTGGATCATAGTCATCAAGACATTTAGGAAGGGAGAAGGGATCATAGTCATCAAGACATTTAGGAAGGGAGAAGGAAGTAACAGATTCTGGTTTGGAGCTGGAAAAAGGAAAAATTGTTTCATGAAAAATTGTATCTCTAGAATGGAAGATTTGTTTGTTTTTTATGTTGTATAGCCTGTAGCCCTTATGTTGACTAGAATACCCTAAAAGAACAGAAGGTATGGCTCTACTCTAGAATTTGATTTTATGGGGAGTGACATTGGTGGCGTAGCATAAGCATCCTATTGTTTTAAAGTAGGAAAGATTATGAGGTTTTTTTATTTAATTTTTCATAAGGAGACAGCCAGTCTAGTGGTTCAGAAGGTAATCGATTGGTGATATGTGTTGCGGCTAAAAGCAATTCTAACCAAAAAAATTTGGGAAGGTTGGATTGGTACATTAAAGATCTGGCAACTTGAATGAGGGTTTTGTGTTTTCTTTCAACACGGTCGTTTTGCTGAGGGGAGTATACACATGATTGTTGGTGTATAATGCCTAACTTGGTAAACAAGGACATGCAATTTGAATTTATAAATTCACTCCCATTATCGGTTCTTATTTTTTTAATTTTGGCCAAAAATTGTGTTTGAACAAGGTTGAAAAAGGTGTTTAAGGCTTGAAAAACCTAAGCTTTAGAATGTAACATGAAGGTCCAGGTGTATCTAGACATATCATCAACGATGGTGAGCATATAAAATGCGAAGGTCCAGGTGTATCTAGACATATCATCAACGATGGTGAGCATATAAAATGCGTTTGTGATAGATTTTACCCCATAGGGGCCCCAAAGATCAATATGCAATAATTCAAATAAGCTTTGTGAAACAAAATAGCTAGGTGAAAAGGGTAGTCTTGATTGCTTTGAAAGTGGACAAACAGGGCATACAATTGAAGAAAAATCACATTTTGGTAAGCCATGAACATGATTTAATCTCTTATTTGATAAGTGGCCTAATCTAGAGTGCCATAGATAGGCAAGATAACTGGGGTGTGTAGAATCTGCTATGTAGATGGCATTGTGACTTTGAAGAGAAAAGGAGTCTTTGGTGAGGTAGTACAATCCTGCCACAACTGTACCAAAAGCAACGACAGTCTCAGTCTGCATATCCTGGAAGAAACAAGAATTTGGGTATAAGTGCACTGAAAGTTTGCAGGTATTTGATAAAATGGAAACACTAGTGATATTGCACTTTAATGAAGTCACATATAAAACATCGTATAATGTTATTTTATTAACAACGATGTTGTCGTATTGATTAACAACTTTTATAGTGCTATATTTAAAATCAATGCTAGACATAACAGAGAGTAAAGTGCTACCTGAAAAATGGACAAAATTAGTCGATGCATCAGAAATACCAGAGTCAGAGGTTGAAGCTTTTCCCTTTACAACTCTACTTACTTCTTGCTGAATAAATTTGCTCAGATGGGGACTAATTGTGTCTTGAGGTGGACTTGAGATAGAAATATCCAAAGGAGACTCTGATGTAGCCATGTTATGAATAGCAGTGTTGTTTCCCTTTTTTTGCTTGTTCTTCTGCTTTTCAAGAAACCAATCAGGGTACCTAATTAATTTGAAACAATTTGCTTTGGTGTGACCGGGATTTTTACAGTAGGTGCAATATCTGTCATCTTTGGAATCTTTAGATTTGTTCTGGTAATGGTTCTCTCTTTGATTGCCTCTGTAAAAGGAGTTGGTTGTGGATGGTCGAGTTTGAGAAAGCATGATAGCAGTGGATTCAGTTGATTCAATAGGGTGATGGTGGATCTCTCTTTGTTTTTCAACACTTAAAGCCATGCTGAAAGCTTGGTTTAGGGGAGGTAAAGGATTCATGATGAGAATGCTGTTCCTAGTATTGTCATACTCATCGTTAAGACCCATAAAAAATTGCATCAATTTGTCCTTTTGATCAAGATATGAAAAACTACGGGCAGCATCACAAGTGCAAACAGGTAGGACTCTAATGGTTGAAAGTTCATCCTATTTTCTGGTAGGACTCTAATGGTTGAAAGTTCATCCTATTTTCTTTTCAAACATGTGTAATATTCATTAATGGATTTTGTGCCTTAGGTGACATTAGCTAAATCCCTAAGAATCTGAAATTCCAAAGGACCATTGGTTTGACCATATCTGTGGATAACCTCATCCCATAAATTTTTAGCAGTAGGGCAAAAAATAAAGTTTTCTACAATATATGAAGACATAGAGTTTAAGAGCCAAGAAATTACCATACTGTCAGTTCTGGCCTAGGTGTTGTAAGTAGCAATAATAAGCTCAGGTCTTGCAACGGTTCCATCGATAAAACCAAGCTTATTTTTAGCTCTCAAAGCAATCTTGATGGATCTGCTCCATGATAAGAAGTTATTGGTATTCAATCGAATACTAACAAGAGATTGTTCAGGTGAATCAGAGTTAATAAGGGGTATAGGATCTGGACCTGAAATCCTAGAGCTAGATATTGTTCAGGTGAATCAGAGTTAATAAGGGGTATAGGATCTGGACCTGAAATCCTAGAGCTAGATGTGATAGCACTCACAAGTTCTTCAGGCGTCATAATGGAAAGATAAAGGGGAAAATCAGAAATGGAAAAACAAAATTTTGATGACAAAGATGGAAAGGGGTCAGGCTAATGGCTCTGATACCATGAGCATCTTTAGATAAAAAAAAAATGGAGAATAAATTCTGTTTTGTAATTCTCATTCTCGAGAGTAAAATGATGAGTACAGGGGAAAATGTATACAGCAAAAGAATATTCTAGATTTAGCCTTGTTGGCTATTTCTTGTGGGCTACTAAATATTTATAAGATAAGACTAAATTGTGGTGAAACATTTATTTAACTGAAAATATTCCAAAGTGTAGGGTGAAGGATGGGTAAATAATGATTGTATGATGATTGGTGATGATTAATATTCTGTACAGACTTGCAGGGAAGAGCATCTTGCATTCTCAAAATTTATTGAAATAAGGGAAGATTTATTAAAATAATGAAATAGGAGAAGAGTAGTTGATCGAGAGAGAATTAAAGTTTGGGTCGATCTAAATAATGATAATAATTTCTGGATTGAATCATAACCATTTTTATATCTCCACCAATTAAACTTTCTTTATCATTGGAGATAAATATGATCTCTAAATTCTCACATAAGATTATAATCTTCAAATTAAAGGGAAAAGTAAAATTTACAATTTACTCAATTGCAAATTAGTTGGTTTGCAATTTTCCTTTTCAGTGAAACAAAAGCCTCCATGTTTCATAATTAAACGACCTGTCGGGGATTTCTAGGATCGTTATAGAAAGAACGACAACAAAATCAATCCAAAATATAATATTTAAGATAAACTGAATATCACCAACTCAACTCATTGAAGTTGAAATTGCAATTGGCAAGGACCAAGGTATTCAATGGCAAATACAATACTATACATACGCACTCTTTCTTTAACAAATCAAGTCACCATCTTTGACATTAGCCTCAGAAAAAGAGAACCTTGGTTCTTTATGCATATTGACAAGTTATAAAAATGAAAAATTTGTATTTCAAAGTTCAAATTTAAAAGAAATTGTTATAACCCTGCCTACCTCAAACAAAGGAAATTGGCAGCCATAGTTGAAAGAAAATAGTTCCATGTAACAGAATTAAAACTATTCCTGCTTCTGATTCAATACTAGATACTAAATAAATAATTATAAAAATCAGAAAAGAAAAGAAACACAAGAAAATTTGACAAATAAATAGTTGATAAATTAAATCAGGCCAAAATGCAAGAAAATGTACCTTCCATAATATTCAGTCCTTGGAGCTATCTGCACTACCTTCGTCAGTATATTCATCACTATCAGTGGTTTCTTCATCCGCAGGGGAACTTTCTTCGCCTTGGATTACATCTTCTTGGTCCGACAGAGAAATCAGATCAGAAACCCGAAATCGTTTTGGAGCCTGTTGATCGTTTTCTTCCATTGCTAGAATGCGCTTTTTTATAAGATTTTCTTCGTCCATATCTTTGTTTCTGATTCTGCAAATAACATATTCGTCCTCGGGATGAACCGAATACTCATCTATGACCCAGTGGCCATTCTCCTCCGATTCCCCTTCCTCCACTTGAAAAACTAATGATTTCTTAACCCCAATTGAGCGACCTTCCCTGTTTTCAACAATTTCAATATTTTGACAATCCCAATTTCCGATACCAGCTGTTCTTTTAATCACAGATCCATTTTTAGTCGTTATTTTCTTCAGTTTGGTGAATGCATAAAAGGTTTCCTTCAGATTTTTGTCGAAAATCATCCATGGCTCTTTGTCTCCATACAAATCGCAATTTACAAAGCAATCGTGAGGAATTATCTCTCCCTTCAATTTCAGTGGAAGATAGAAACTAATTATTTCACCATCCGTTGGTTTAAAACGATAACCAACAGGTAGGTTTCCCATTGTTAATTTTATTTGCCCTGCCATTGTTGAGTTTCTCTGCTTCGCAACCGCTGCGTTAATACTTATTCAACTGCGTTGCCCTATTAATTTATGTAATATCTATCACCGCCTTTGAATTTTTATTTTTCGCAAAAAAAAAAAAAAAAAAAAAAAAAAAAACGCCTTTAATAAGTGGGTCTTTACAATTTCCTTGAAAAAAAACAGAAAGGTAAAACGACGCCGTTTCAGTTTCGTTGTTCGGCGTTGTTTCGTTCAATTGACTAAATTTTCTCTTCCTTTTCTTTTCTTCCTATTCATTTCCTTGGTAAAAAAATTCCTTCTCGTGTATCGGCGGTCGCTGTTTTTCTGTCTCCTTTTCGCATCTAAACATTGCACTTATCTTCCTTTACGTAAAAAAAAAAAAAAAAAAAAAAAAAAAAGAGTACCGCCTTTATAAGTGGTCTTTACATTTCCTTGAAAAAAAACAGAAAGTAAAACGACGCCGTTTCAGTTTCGTTGTTCGGCGTTGTTTCGTTCAATTGACTAAATTTTCTCTTCCTTTCTTTTCTCCTATTCATTTCCTTGGGTAAAAAATTCCTTCTCTGTATCGGCGGTCGCTGTTCTGTCTCCTTCGCATCTAAAACATCACTTATTCTTCTTACTTTACAAAAGTCTAATGATTCATCTAAAAAAAAAAAAAAAATCCTCTGATTTGCTTGTATATACGGAGAAAGGGAGAGAGGAAGTTTCATCGACCAACATCTCTGTAATCGGCATTCCTTTCTCACCGCGAGGTAAAGCTTTAACAAATAGAATGAAACTAAATATAGCAAATTTGATAAATGATTTTAATTAATGTGGTTCAATTTGATAGCTGCCGGCACAAACCCTAAAATTTATCATTGGTTTCCTTTCTTGGTCTGATGTTTTAGTTGTTTAAGTGTTAGATTCTCATTACCTATTGCATTTTTGGTTTGATCATGAATTGGGTTATAGACATGACATTATTGAAATTACTCAAATTCATCATTAATTGTATATGTCAGTAGTGTTTTGGGTTGATTTAGATTGAATGAGGGTGCATAATCCAGTCTATAACCCACCGAATTGCCCCCTTCAATTTACTCAACTGCTAGCCTCAACCTTTTTTGCTGGACAAATGTTTGATAATTTTGTTGTTAAAAGATAAAATTGCTTCTTTATTATTATTAATTTTTCCCAAAAATGTAAGCTTAAGGTATAATAAGTCCAGGCTATTTTATACGAAGAAAATGGAAAAGATAGTGTTAAGAGAATGAAACTGAAGTTGGTTAAGTCCACTTCAATCTTACAAATATAGGTATAGACAATATTCTAACTTCTCTTAACATGGTAGTTTATTGGACATTTTCTTTTTGGAGGTTTGATCGTGATATTGTCATGGTCTGGACTAATAGCCTAGTGTATGGGTGTTTGTTGCATTGTAGACCCTCAAGAGTTCAAACCCATGCTTCTGTCTCCCTTTGTCTTAAATTGAAAAAAAAAAAAAGGAAAAAAAAAAAAAAGATTTTAGTACTCAACAAATGCCTATTTTGTTGATTTCCTCTAAATTTATGGATGGGAGTGAAACTTCTCTTTTATGGGACATTTTGGTGGTGATATTGTGAGGTTTGGATTGAATATCGTGTCAACTTTCCTTGAGAATTTGCTATGGCCATAACAACTTTCCTTGAGAATTTGCTATGGTTATAACTTTTGGGAATTTACTCTCTGGTGTGGTATAACCGAGGATGCCGAGGTAAAAGACAATAAATTTGTGCGGTTCTCAGGCACCTTGAAACTTGGAACTAGAAATTGATAAATACCACGGGCATTTCCGAAAGTGAGTTATCTATCATACATCATATTATAGTTGTTCTTTCAGAGTTTGGATGCTATTGATGAACGATGCATACATCTGGAATACCTCTGTGTCTTTGCTGATTTTGATGAACTTCTGAAAATAAGGTTACAATCATTGCTTGGTAAAATCCTATTTCAACTATTCATTGCTTGTTATTTGTCCTTTGCAGAGTGACTGTATATTTTTCCAATGGAAGTAGCATGAAAATGGATGAAGGGAGCAGCAAAACTGCTTATACAGATTTTCTATTACAGTGGAGCCAGTGGCAATTGCTTGATTCCATTCTTCCTACAGGTGGTTTTGCTCATTCTTTTGGTCTTGAGGCAGCAATTCAAGCACGCATAATCTTGGGCTCTGAAGATTTTAAGACTCAGGTGCTTCACATTTTGGAGAATACAGGGAGTTTGCTTCTTCCTTTTGTGTACTCTGCTACCATCTCTCCAGATATCAATACTTGGAAAAAACTTAACACCATATTGGATGCAACTTTAACAAATGAAGTAAGTAGAAAGGCATCTATTGCACAAGGATCAGCTCTTATGAGGGTAGCTGCTTCTGTGTTCACGGAAGTCCCATATCTTAAAACTATGAGAGACACATTGCTTGGTTCTGGGGTCGTTTCTTTTCACCATGCACCTGTTTTTGGCATTATATGTGGACTAATTGGAATGGATAGTGAGACTTCTCAAAGAGCTTACATGTTTATAACAATGAGAGATGCTTTTTCTGCTGCAACAAGGCTGAATTTGGTTGGACCCCTAGGCTCTGCTGTCTTACAGCATCAGCTTTCTGTTATTGCTGAAACTATATTGAAAAAGTGGATGGACCGTACAGTTGAGGAAGCATGCCAAACAGCTCCTTTGCTTGATACACTGCAGGGCTGCCATAGTTATTTGTTTTCAAGATTGTTTTGCTCTTGATATCTCAGGTAAATGCATATACTCTTGATAAACATTCACTTTTCTATTTTCAATTTGCATGTCATGTTAACATAAGTCAGTGAGGAATATACTCTTAGAGCATCCCTCTAGGATTGGATTAAAGTCGAGAGGTTGAGTGCTTGCCTGGTAACGGAGGCCAAAGGTCCAAACCTTGGCCCTTGAGAATTTCATTTGGCAGAAAATTAAATGTTTATTTTACAAGTCAAAGAGAAATATGTTTTTCCTTGATTGGGCTAGCTAATAGCATAAGGTTAAGTTTCTGCGATCGGTTGATATTGTTCCATCTAAAAAATAAACATCACTAAATTAATATGTATTTAATTCGCTCAAAAAGAATCAACTTTGATTCCAAAAATTTTGTACAATTAATATTTTTATTGTTTTTAAAAATAGAGATTAAAAACTTGGTCATCTATGAAAAAATAAATATGAAAAATAAAAAAAAATAAAATTACGGAAGAAAATGAATAAATTTGAAATATTGTTATATTATAATTATAAATTTCAAAAAAAATATATGAATAATAAACAGAACTGTTTTGAGAGAAGATGAAGGTTGTTCAGGCTAATCTTGAAGCCTCATCGGTGTATCATATATAAACAAAACTGTAGCAGAGGCTGTTATGGCAGAGAAGAGGGATTGCAGTTGTAACCTCATCTTTTGAGTTGAATATATTAAATTTCCATTTAAAACCCCATTTTCAACCCTATTATCTTTTTAAGTACCTTTACAGTTAATTGTTTGTAAAAAGGTAACTCAGTGCATAAGCATTCCATATATGTTGATTCTGAAGGAAGGTTACCGCATGCAGCTTTCTCTGTTTTTGGCAGATCAGATGTTTTCATATATAATACATTTCCATTTTAGAAACCTCATCTTCAATTTCAAGCCTATTCTCCCTTTAGGCACCTTTGCAGTTAATATTGTAAATTTTTAACGGCAAGTGTCAAGAAATCTAATCAATAAGTTCTACAACAGACTTAGAGCGTGGTTTTTTGGATTTCGACATCCATTTCATTTCTATTTCGATTTCAAGTAAACAAAAAATTCTCAAGAATTAACTAAACATAGTTATAATCCAATGCTACCCTGCATTATATATAAGTATGAAATAATCAAAGTTGCAAAACACTAAAACTTTTGAATACTAAAACAATAACTATAAAATTGATATGTGGTGTTTGCTAGAAAATTGCTTTTGGAAGGAATTGAAGACTCAATTGGAAAGGGACAATCTTTTGACCATTGTTATATTTGCTGTGGTGATTCTTTGTGACAGGGATAATTACTTTCAATAGGTAGGAAGGGAGATTATTTGTGTAGTTTGCAGTTTCTTTTGTTGTGGTTAGCTCTGATGTAGCAAAAGTTAGTTGGTAGTGCCTATGAAAAAAGTAATGAAAGAAACCAGTTTTATTTGAGCTTATTCAATTTTTTTTTTTTTAAAAGCTTACTCAAATTGTGTTGTGCATTTTTTTGTTTAAAGTAATTTTTGAAAGAGTGGCTTTCGACTATAGGAAGAATTGAATCAAAGCAATTGCCACTGGCTCCACTGTAATAGAAAATCTGTATAAGCAGTTTTGCTGCTCCCTTCATCCATTTTCATGCTACTTCCATTGGAAGAATATACAATCACTCTGCAAAGGACAAATAACAAGCAATGAATTGTTGAAATAGGATTTCCCAGAAACTTCAGGCAGAGGGAAAGAAGGAAAAGAGAAAAAAGATAAAGAAAATCTCATGCCAGTGTCCTAAATTTATTTAAAATCATAAGATAAGATAATATCCATAGCTTGACAGTAGAATTTGAGCATAGTTAAATTCTGCAGTGTAGAAATTGCAGCAGCAATAGCTTCTGCAGATGCATTCCATCAAAATTTGATTCTTGTAATTGAGAAACTAACTGATTTAGCTGATCAAACTAATAACATTTGTATATATATATATAAATTATAATATCAGAAGTTGTCTTTGAATTGATTTGCATTTTTTAAAAATATCAGCATTTACGATTCTGAAATTTTCATTGGATAGCCATTAATTCATCCTTTTCATCTAATTTTAAGCTGCCCTTATTTTTCCGAATTGTTATTTTCATTGTTTTAAGACACAAATTAAAAATAATAATGGTAATATCATAATCAGTAACATATTTATTTATTTTGAAAGGAGAAACATTTATTATTTTCATTTCAGAAACTAAGTTAAAAGCCTTAAAAGAAAAAAAAAAAAAAGAAACCATATCCCTAGCTCTTTTATTTTTCTAATATTATATGACAAGACAAACATAAATCTACTTAAGATTGTTCGCGAACCGCATGGATTACGGTTCCTTCCTGAAGAATTTCATAAGACCTCAAAGTTCTATCGTCTTCAAGAAAAGTTGTCGTTTCCATACTATAGTAGTATAGCTTCAGTTTTTCAGGGTCAAGGAGATGACTCCTATAGAGTTTCTGTTTCACTTGTGCAACTGTCATCAGGTTATGGACTATTACGTCATAACTGTTTTCGTGTTCTTCAATAATTTTAATTTCAAATAAGAGAACAGCAACAAGATTATCCTCCAGCGGAATAGATGAGATCTTTCGATCGAATTTCAACTCGCTACCATTGAGAAGAAACACCAATTTATCATAATTTATACGAGTCGCTACTGAAAATTTGTGTTTGAGTTGAAAAACCCATGATTGGTCCCAAATCGTCACAGTAAACCTCGCCAAGTTATAATCAATTTTGATACGCCTCATCTGCAAAAACCAAGAAGAAGCTCATATTATATATTAGAAAAAATCAGATTGAATTATTCTAATTCAGAAAATTTGCTTGTAATCTAAAACATATAATTAAACCAACTACAAGAGTACGCACAACAAGAACTATGATTTCAGAATTAGGTTGAATTCCATAATATTCAACTGTGTCATTATTATCTCCCAGGTAGATACTTTGGTACAATAGCAGTTGTTCCTCTACTTCAAATCTAAGGTGCTGCTCATTATGAATTGCTTCTTTGATGTCTTGAACAATTGGATTCTCTGGAAGAACCACAGGATATCTAATACCCTCGTAGTTAATCCAGACCAACATTTTGATTAGAGAAATTTCAGATTCTGAACTATTATTATATGCTTTGAACAAAACCTGTTGAACTGCTACATTGTCTTCGATTTTAAGTTTTGTTATCATGAACTAAGGATGATATATTTTTTCAATGAAATTTTAATGTTTAGTTTAGTCTGGTAGAAATTACGTGAATTGCTTTCATGCAAATATGTTTTATTTGTTTTCTGTGCTATGGTACACCAAAAAATTTGTTGGAATAGAAAATCCGTGAATTGCTTCCATGCAGATATGCAATATATGTTTTCTATGTTATGATAGACCAAAAAATTGTTACTTGATGAAATTGTAAAATCTCACCCATGATTTTTATTATTATTTTTAAAGTTTGTAGCCTAGTAAATAATGATTTAAGTAAAAATAGATTAATACGCTAAGTTTGTAGCCACCAATAACTTTTTAAATAGTTTGTTTAAATTAATTTTTAAGGATTAATACGCTACTCAAACAACAGCTATATTCTAATAAAATAGCAGTTTGCCGAACATACCTAAAATTTAGAAATAAATTTATATAAATAAAAGTTCAAAAAAATTTTTTAATAGAAAGTGAAGAGTTATTATGAAAAAAAAAGGTCTAATGATAAAAAAAATTTGTGGTTGAGAGGACTCGATCAATGGACCAACTAAACAAATTATACGGTTCAAAATAACTTTAAATTTAGTGGTGACAAAGTTTGAAAAAAAGATTTTGATAATGACAAACAAATTAATATAATCACAGAAATACTTTTATCTGTTATAAAAATTTACCATATTGTATTCCTTGATAATGCATTTCAATTTTCTAAATCAAGTAAAGAATATATCTTTTAAAAAAATAATCAAATAAAGCATAGAAAAATAAAGCATATACAATTATAAAGCTAATGAAGTAGAGAATTTCTCCATATCTTATTCACATTAATTCAAATAGATAGAAGCACTTAGAGCCACATAAATCAGAAACTGACAAAATCGAGAAATTAACAACAATGGAAGACAGAGACATCACAGAAGATTGGTCCATGTGGAGTTACCAAAGTTCCTGCTTTAGAAGTAGTATTAGCAGAAAATCTGATCTTCAAATCCTTACATAAGACCTTCATCTTCCTTTTTTTTTCCGTTTCACTTCTTGAATAATAATACATTGTACCAATGCAATTCAACTCGAAAGAGAAGGTCACAACTCCATTTTCTCTCTTCTCCCCCATAACAGCTTCTGCAACAGTTCGGTTCATGCTTGCTAGTGAGGATTTAAGAAACACATCCACCACCTTAAGATTATCACCCTCATAATCCTCATATAGATTTCCTATCTTTGTAGAACAAACACGCTCATTTTTCAACAAAAGAGAAGCCTCCATATTTTCATAATAGAATGGACTCCGATCATCACCAATGTAGCCTATGGAGACGGTGATATTCCAATTTGCTGTTATATTAGACGAAGATATATCAAAAGGATAAACTTTGGCCGAGTCAATGAGGAATGTTGGTGTTTCAAATTTGTTCCCGTCTTTTACTAAATAATATACTATTAGCCCCATGAGGGTAACTAGCGGCAGCAAGATAAGAAAACAACATATTTGTTCAGTTAGAGAAAGCTCACTGGAATCATACACTTTATCCTGGTGAGTGGTGGTTATCTGGCGGCGATTAGTGGCCCTGGTGGTGGCTGGAGATGGACGTTGTCTCTGACAATTATGACTGTGAGGTTGATGAGCTTCGACTGCAGATTCAGGGGAGACAGACATGGAGGGCTAGGAGTTAATCAAAGGGTTATTAGGAGTTGATGTATAAACTCTGATTCGTTTCCGATCTGTTGTTTATATATTTATTTTTTTAGAAGAAATTTTTTTTTAAACGTTGCATTTTGATTTAGAGAGTTTAGACTTCAAATTTTAAATTTTATTCAAATTTAAATTTTCTTTAGAAGTTCAAAATTAAAAAGAAAAGAATGGATGCAGCATATTGCATATGCATTCATTATTTATTATCACTGCAATTGCTAATCAAGTACGTTCTAATCCACTAGTGGAAATGATTCTTCCTCTCTAAATAGTTTAGGGTCTTATTCGATAATAACTTTTTATGTAGTTTTTATTGTTTTAACTAAGATAAAATATTACTTTTATTATTTATAGTGTTTTGTAGCTAACATTTGTCGTGTGATGAAATGCTAATTAAACAGATGAATCTGATAGAACAATTAATTTAATTGAATAGTCCCTACAATATTATTTTGATCCATTAGCCTCGTATGACTAATTAATAAAAAAAATTTAACAATTTTTACAAATGATACTCAATGATGATTAGTATGGATAAGTATTTTCCATATTTTAATAGATTGAGTGGTTGATAATTGCCTGGTAAAGCAAGAGTACTTCAGGCAAAAGCAAGAGGTGTTCAAGTGAAATTAACTGTTTTGATAGCGTTTAGTTATTAGCTGTTTGATTAACTTTTCATAAAATGCTAAAAGTTAAACGTTATATGAGTTAACTTTTTATACACTGCTATCTTAACCTCTAAATTTAACGCTATATCACTTAACAATATAAAAAATAACATTCAAAACGTTAAAAGTTACTTAAAAATTGTTACCAAACATGGTCTAAAAGGTACAAACCTTGGCAGCATTTTCTCTTGAGAATTTCTAATATGACAAGAATATTAAATTTTTATTTTACAAGTCAGGAAGAAATATGTTTTTTCTTATTTGAGCTAGCTAATACCAGAATTAAGTTTCTGAAATTAGTTGATGGTGTTGCGTTCGAAACAGGAAGGATACCCTAAAATACCTATTCGCTTTTATCCTAAGTACGTCACTTTCTACTTGTGCATAATAACAAACTCAAACTTCAACATTAAGGGTAAAACAAGAAAAATAAAAAATCGTGGAGACTAAATTTAAAAAACAAAATTTCAAAATGTTATGAAACGAAATAACAATAATAAAAAAAAGAATTTAGAGTGGCGACCATCCCATATGTCTTTTCGTATTCATCAATGCTTATGTGGGGTTTACCTAAGAATGTTATGGCTGCAGTTAGAAATTATTCTTTCATGTTTACCCTACAAATTTTGCAACCAAGATAATAGTTTGAATGAACCAAAAAAAAAAAAAAAAAAAAAAAAAAAAAAAAGGAATTTAGAGTGGCGACCATCCCCATATGTCTTTTCGTATTCACTCAATGCTTATTGTGGGTTTACCTAAAGAATGTTATGGCTGCAGTAGAAATTATTCTTTCATGTGTACCCTACAAATTTTGCAACCAAAAGATTAATAGTTTGAATGAACCAAAAAAAAAAAAAAAAAAAAATTAAATGAATATTTAAAAAAAAAAAAAAAAAAAAAAATTAAAATGAATATTTATTTTTCTGAATGGATTTTTAAAAATATTTTCTTAATATAAAGAAATCTAACACATTCAAGGAAACTGGTAGCTTTTTATTTCTAAATTAAGGATTTGTTTCTTAATATTCAGAAACTGAAGAAATTGAATTTTAATATTTTTTATTCATTAAGAGGTCGTAGAAAAAAAAAAAAAAAATTATGAGTTATAGAACATAGATAGTCTTCCCTTTTACTTACCAAATTGGTGAATTTGGTACATAGAAGACAGATACTGGGAGGCAATTTCTCGTGAAAATAACTGCAGAAGCATGACGCAGTGTCGTGAAGATCAAGGAAGCTCTCATGAAATTCAGAAGAGACTTGAATCAAAGTGGAAGTCACTGGTGTATTCATGTCAGTTCATGTGTATCAATGGGAAAACTGCATGATAAATAAGTAGGAATTAAAGTTGGATTTGATTTAAGTATTGAAATTTCTATTTTATTTCATTCCTATTTTAAGATTGAATGGAGATTGTACTACTACATTTGATATATATTGATTTACCAAAGCTCCGGCTTTAGTATTAGTATTAGCAGAAACACCTAATCTTCAAATCCCTACATAACACCGTCATCTTCCTCTTTATTCTTTTATCGACTTGTGAAGGATACATTGTACCAATACACAATTCAACTCGAAAGAGAAGGTCGCGACTCCATTTTCTCTCTTCTCCGCCATAACAGCCTCTGCTACACTTTGGTTTATACTTGCTAATGAGGATCAAGAAATACATCCACCATCTTAAAATCATCGTGCTCCTCGTACTCCTGACATATATTTCCTATCTTTTTTTTTTTTTTTTTTTTTTCTGGTAAAATGGGAGGGAAAGTTTTATGGGAATTGGGATCGTTTCTTTGCATATGTCCATCGTTGTTTTTTTTTTTTTTTTTTTTTTTCTGGTAAAATGGGAGGAAAGTTTTATGGGAATTGGATCGTTTCTTTGCAATGTCCATGTTGTGAACAATAATGGAAAAATGAACTTTTTCTTTACTTTTGCTTCTTGTTGAGGAATCAATTGTTCAGTGATTTGCAAATTTTTACTGCTTCTAATATCAATTTGGCTAGTCGGTGTATTATAGGGCCAAAATAGAAGGTAGAGTTGATTTTTTTTTCTTTTTTCTGATTAGTTTGGAGGCAGCATTCCCTGTTTTATTCTGATAATGAAGAGGAGAAACGGGTTTTCTGATGTAGGATTTAATAAGGGGGAGGAGTATAAATAAAATAAAATAAAACAAATATCCCAATTAAATATTGGACTTACTTAGAAATACTTATATTATTAGGTACTAACTTGAAACTTTTACAACTCAAAAATATTACTCTCACATGCTTACACCACACCTGCACACACCTTTGCGATTTCACTCTATTGCTTCTGCTTTGTTGCTGTGTGTTTGTAAAGCTTCACGCCAAAGCCTATTTATAGGCAGTAAAACTTGGTCGCCAAGTACACTTCAATGGCTATTAAATTGCCATCCTCTCCGCCAATGGCAATGTGCCAATCTTTCTTCCAATAGCAAGGTGACACGTGTCCTCGCATTAATATTTTATATTTATTATTTTAATTAGTGATGATATTTTAACATTCTGATTTGTATTTTAATTGTTGATAATCACATATATTACATTTCCAATTTAAAAAGGGAAAATAATTATTTCGTCCCTCAAATTTATCATAATTATCTAAATAGTCCTTCACATTTTATGTAATATATAATTTATCTTTTATATTTAACTCCGTTTAATTAAAAAGTCGTTCCGTCTGAATATAGAATATTTTACCATTATTTTAAAAATAAAGTACTAAAACACCCCTTTCTCCCTTGCTGCTGCGGTGGACCACTTTTTAGCACTTAGCTTAAAAAAATTAAAATTAAAATTAAAATTGAAAAAGAAAGTAGCTCCGTTCCAAAGGCAGCGAAAATAACATCGAAATAAAAAAAAAATTCAAAAAAAAAAAAGTTTTGTTTTTCTTTTCTCCGAAAGCTTCACATCGTTCTTAACTTGGATTTTCAAGTATTATTTAATTGTTGTCTAATTGAAGGGAAAGGACTAGTAAGTAGTTGATAGCAATGAAAGTTCTTGTTCACCATCTTCATGGACTTTTTGTCCAGGATAAATGTTTGGCAGCGAAAAGATAGGATTGAGAGAGACAAGGACCAAATGACATCGCATCACCAGCCGCTACTATGCCTCGTCGTTCGCCCTTCAGTCAGCGACAGTGTTGATGGTGGCATGGGAGAGCAGTGATGCAGCGATTACGAGCCCGGTGAGGTCCGTCACGATCCGATATTCCGACGATCCTGGATAGAGGAGTTGTAATAGCAAGTAGCCCAAGTATCAGCGGCGAGTTTGAGTGCGATTTGAAGGCGGTCATGGTGAAGTCGGCAGTGGAGAAGATGCTGGGGGTGGGGATGTTATTTATCTCGGGGTGGTGAAGTCGGCGGTGATGGAACGGAGCTACTTTCCCTTTTAATTTTAATTTTTTTAAGCTAAGCGCTAAAAAGTGATCCATATCAGCGAGGAGAAGGGTGTTTTAGCACTTTATTTTTAAATTAATGGCAAAATACCTTATATTTAGACGGAAATACCTTTTAATTAAGCGGAATTAAATAAGAGAGATGAATTATATATTACATAAAATGTGAAGAACTACTTAAATAATTATGGTAAACCAGTGAAGAAATAATTATTTTCCCATTTAAAAACAGCATTTTGAACCTTATTATCTTGAGTACCTTTACAGTTAATTGCTGGTAAAAAGGGTATTCAGTGCACAAGCATTCCATGTTTGTTTACAACTGAAGGAAGGTTAAAGCACACAGCTTTGTGTTTTGACAGAGAAGATGTTTTCATGCATAGTAGATTTCCATTTTAGAAACCTCATCTTCAATTTCAAGCCTATTCTCCCTAAAGGAATAATTTCTTCTACTGTTCTAAAAAGGTTAAACTATATTTTCAATTGATCTTTTCGAATTGTTTCATTTTCATCCTAAAATGATTTTTATTCCCTACAAACCCTAATTGCACCTTTTTTTTTTTATTTTCATTGTATTCACCCTAAATTCAAATTTAGACTAAATTGAACAATAAAATATATTAATTTTGGATTCATTCTACGACATGGATTAACTTAATTAACCATCATAATTAAAATAAACAGTATTGTTATCCAAAATTGGCATACGTGGCATGCATGGTTAGCCACCAACCAAAGAAATTTGTTAGTCAAAATCGGTATGCATGGTTGGCCAACAACCAAAGAAAATTAAGGCAATGGTTGCATCTATAAATAGAGCACTTCCATATGTGTTTTATTATCAACTCATTTTTCAGAGAGAAATCCATTAGCTAAAGTTCAAAGAGAAAAGCTTTGGTGAGAGAAAATTGAGAGTAATTTTCTTGGGTGAATTTATGAGTTGTGGGTTATAAGTGTTGTAAACAC